TTCCACAATGAAATAGACCACATCATATTCACTCGAAGGTTTTGCCTGACCGATGTCGCTGTTGTCCCAAAATTTCGAACGGGATCGGACCACCGTCTCCTTCGTGCAAAATTCTACTTCACAGAACAGGGAGAAAGGGCTGCAAAGTTCAAAAAGAGAACTCCCAGAATGACCACCAACTGGGAACTCTTTGGCACAATTGCGGCAACATAGGAAGATGCCTTTGTTGACAACATTGATGAGGAATACGATCGACTGGTTCAGCACTTCCATGAATGTGCGAGGAACGTCAAGAGAGAGATAGCCACAAGAAATGCCTGTCTTCGAAATCTCTTGAGCTTATTCACCAGCGTGGTTTGGCACATGCCTCAGGCAACTGCAAGCTAACGTCCGAGCTCATAAAGCAGTGCAGAGATGCGATCAAGGAAGACCTCAAAGAGAGAAGAGCAGAAGTACTGGTAGATGCAGCAGAAGCTGGGAAAAGTATTCGTTATGCCCATCTGTCCTTCGCCAACTACAAGACCAAGATGACTGCCCTCCGACGTCCTGATGGATCCATCACATCCTCCAGAACAGCAATGGAGAAGATTATCCATGACTTCTACTCAAATCTCTTCGATAGCCATGTCCACTTGCCGACATACCAAATTCCACAGGATGGATATGTCGTTCCCAACGTTCTTCATTCCGAAATCCAACACGCCATTTCATCGGTAAAGAAACAAACAGCACCCGGCCCAGACAAGGTCAGACCTGAACACCTGAAGAACCTGCCATCAGTACTCATCAATACACTGGCTCGGCTCTTCACTCGCTACCTGTCTGAATGCAAGGTTCCATCCCAATGGAAAACCAGCAGGACCGTACTACTGTTCAAGAAGGTAGACATCCATGACATTGGCAACTATCGCCCTATCTGCCTATTGTCTGTCATCTACAAGTTGTTCACTCGAGTCATCCTAAATAGGATTGGCAGAACACTAGATGAAGGACAACCATGCGAGCAAGCCGGGTTCTGCAAAGGATTCAGCACCATTGACCATATCCACACAATAACCAAACTCATTGAGGTTTCTCGGGAGTTCAAGATGCCACTCTGTTTAACGTTCATTGATTTAAAGAAGGCCTTTGATTCTGTTGAGACAGAAGCGGTCATTGAAGCCCTAGTCAATCAGGGCATTCAAGCCCAACACATCAAGATCCTCCGTGAGCTGTATTGCGGATTCACTACCAGGATCTCACCATTCTACAAAGAAGTGATCGTTGATGTCAAGAGAGGGGTTCGGCAGGGTGATACCATTTCACTGAAACTCTTCAGTGCCACCCTCGAGAACATCATGTGACGACTGGAATGGGAAGGAATGGGAGTGAAGATAGATGGTCGGCAATTACACCACCTCCGCTTTGCTGATGATATTATTTTAATAACACCAAACATCAGCCAAAAATGTCAAAAATCAGATGGGCTGGTCACGTAATGAGATTTAAAGATGACCGTTGGACTAGAGCTGTTACTGACTGGATTCCACGGGATGTCAAAAGACCGCGTGGCCGCCCACCTACCAGATGGTCAGACTTCTTCGTGAAGATCATGAACGATCGGTTTGAGGCTCTTCATGTTCCCAGAGCGAACAGATGCCATTGGGCTACACTAGCACGTGACAGGGACAAATAGAGACTTTACTGGCGCCCGCTCAAGCAAATCGACGACTAACGGGAAGTTAAGTGATTAACTCAAATTATAAATGCATAAACCATGCCCATTTTAATGGATCTGTCCAAGACAATATGATAGATAAAATAACAATATGCTTAAAATTTTCAGCAAATTCTCAAAAAGCTACTAAGTGTAGCCACTAGCTGTACCAAAATCCTAATATCACAACTGTAAAATCTTATCACGCCGAAGGTTGTGTGTTCACGGGCTCACTGGATGAGACTGTCTCACCTCCTGCCTTCGGTACTCTTTAGCCGCTGTGTGTGGCCTGGATTGGAAGGGCTTTTGGCCAAGGGCAGACAGAAGAAGAAACGAGGGCCAGGCCAGTCTATATCAATAGTAGTTTATTCCAATCCTCTTCACTCCGGTCTTTCTCTGCCTCCTTCTCTCCTGGGCCCCAATCTTGGAACCTCTCTTCTTCTGGCTCTGACTCTGGATCTCTGGAGCCCAAGCTCTCTCGCTTCTGACTTTCTTCCGAGCTTACCTCTTAGTTTAAATAGCAGTCACATAAGGCGGTGACATAAAGGTGGGTTGAATATTGACGAATCAACAAAGAGAGGTAAGACCACTCCTCCAGGAGATTAACTCAAGGATAAAATCTCATCTACAGAGATTACTTCAGATTACTAGGAGATCCTCCCAAGGGTGGGATCCCAACAAGGGTGTGTTCTTCCTTCAGTTAGTAATCTACTTAAATAGTTATAATAAATCTACTTCTAATATTTCTAGCAATGTCATTCTGTATGAACACGGTAAGAGATATAAATTTAGTTTGGTTCTTCCTGGAGAACATCTCACTATACATTTCGCAGTCCTCAGGCCAGGTTAATCTTCCTAGCTCCAGCAGGGTCCTAGTCTCGTCATTACTTACTTTTGGATCATGACAGCATTTGTCCATGATCATGCCCTCAACTTATAGTTGAGTATCGTGGCTCTTTGGCCTGGCCCATTTCGATGCCAGGGTAGCTCACTGCTTGCCCTGGGTCCATTCAATCCCTCGTCGGGACCCTGCTTTTGGGGTGCTAGGAACTAAGGGCAACTGAGTCAAGAAATCAGATGCCCAGGAGTAAATATTATTCGGAGTCAATCAACTCCCAAGTTACAAAGCATAATATTAACTGTCTTCCTGTGTCCACACAGAAAGGACATTGCTTACAATACAAGTTCAGTGTCCTTAGATGGGTGTGAGCTGACAAACCTAAGCTACCTGAGGAAGGACAAAAGAGTGTTATCCTACACACAACCAAATGTTAAAAGTAGCTAAGGTGCTGAGGCCAGTTCCAGAAACATAGTGCTCACAGCTTCTGATTTATCACACTTAGCTATGTAACTCATTAAAACCCCTTACAGAGACTCAGAGGATAGAACTAGTTGAAAGAAATATAGGATATCTGCAATAATTCCAGTTGTTTGATCACCCACCACACTAAAAAACAGGAACCGATGTTTAGAGCTCCAGCTCACATTGCTTCTATGTATTTAGTTGGAAAGGAGGAAGAGTACAAAATAGTATGTATATGACATATATATGTATCTAAAAATAAAATTACATGTGTATATAAAGCAAAAAAGGAGAAATCTAGAAGCTATATGCCCAAATTTAAAGAATAAGCTGTCTCTGGAGGGAAAACCAATTATTTCATTGTCTTCTTTATAACTTTACAGTTTTAACTTTTATTGGATAAGTAGCATATTATCAAACTTTCTACTTTGAAAGCACACTTTAAAATTCACATATCAAAATATTTATGTGGTTTAATCTAATTTAATTTAAACATCCATTCAACACATTTTGCATTGTAGTCTTAGAAAAAGACAACCACAATGCAAACTTAATTGTGGATATATGCCCTATCATCTATGAACACAAGACAAACGTCAGGTATGGTGAATTATATTCAATTAAATCTACCTCACAGATAATTTATTTATCTGGAGTGTGGGATATATGTACTTTTCCCTACAGTCACGGTCACGGTCCTCCCATTGTTCATCAATTTGCTCGAGCGGGCCCAGTAACATCTCCATTGTGAGACTTGTTGTTAACTGTGTTTGGCATTTTGAATATGTCACGGGTAGCCTGCCAGGCTTTGCCCTGCGGGTGAGATACTCTCGGTAGCTTGCAGGGCTCTCCGAAAGGGGAGAAGGAATCGAACTCGAGTAGGCCATGATGGCTGCGTGCAAGGCAAACACCCTACCCAATGTGCTATCACTTCAGCCCAGACTATGAATTTCTTGAAGGCAAGAATAATATTTTATTTTTATATCTCCACAGATAGCAGTGATTAGAAGTTTTCTGTTTTACTACGTCTGTCAATCTTAAAAGAAACAGATCTTAAAAGAAACAGATACACCAGGTGCTAACTAAAACATGCACAAAAAATGCCTAGGAGCTAAGAGTAGTTGTAGCCACTATTTCTCAAAAAAGGAAACATGCAAGAAATAGTGTGATGGGGAAAAGAAAACAATATAATTGCATAGGAAAGTCAAATCAAGAGTCCATATCCTAGGGAGCCAGGATTTAGTCTTGACATATAAACTCACACAAAGACTATTTATATATACTTATCCTGAGAGTTTAAAAGACAAAAACAGGAGCAGAGTTAGTGACCTTGCATGCAGCTGACCTGGGTTTAATCCCCAGCACTCCATAAAGGTCTTCCAAGCCTGCCAGGAGTGACACCTGAGTGCAGAGTTAGGAGTAAGCCCTGAGCATAGCTCATGTGGGCCCCCCAAACCAAAAAATATATGAATAAAATACAAAACCATTTTGTATTTCTCTTACAGAAATAACATGAATCAGAAAAAGTCAAGAATTTTTAAATGGAAACACTAAATTTTAAGAGTCAGATTCATAAACTAAAAAGTTGTATTCTCAGGTTTTTTCAAATTTTAATAGGCAATGCTTTCGAGGTTCCAGTTACACAATGTTAGGCACATCCTCGAGAGAAAAGCATTATCTGAACAAAAGCATAAACAACTTTGAGTTTTAGTGACTTATATAAACTATTATTGACTTATGAAAGAGAGCCTTGCCTGTCAGAAAATCTAGGCAGGGACAGAAGAGATAGTACAGTGCTTGTCTATCCAGGTTCAACTCCAGCACCACACATGGTCCCTGAACACCACTGGGAGTGATCCCTAATAAAAGATCCAGGAACAAACCCTGAGCACTGCTGAATGTTGCACAAAAATTTAATAAGAAAAAATAAAGAAAAGAAAGAAAATCTTGGCAATATTAAATATATTTAACCAAACACAGAACCTCTGAAAGAAATCTTACCTGTATTTGTGAGCCCTTCTGAAGAGTTGGGGAAACCTCAGGTTGTGAAACAAATGGAAATCCAAGGGGATGTACGGGTAAAACAGTGGACTGACCTTGAACCAAAGGCAAAGTATGGGGCTGACCCAACTTTGGCTGCTTCTGCAACTGTTAAGAAAAATATTAAAGACAAACTTTTCCACTTATAGTAAACTGCTACTTATATATTTTAAAATGTAGTATTTAACCTTACCCTTAAAATTTGCTGGTAATGTTGTAGCTGCTGGGATGAATAAATTTGCCCTGGAGCATTTATTTCAGCCTGTGGTATGTTAGAAACCATCTGAGACCCCATTGCCTGGTCTGAAGAATAGGGAATACTGGGCTGATTTGAAGCATCTGGGTGTACAGCAGATCCAGCTCCTGCCTCGGACAAAGTGTCACCTGTGACAAAGAAAATAAGCAATAGATAGAAGGGAAAACTCAAAGTACTAGGTCTAAATGGCATAAGAAATTGTAAGTATTGCTTTGATTTTCACTCTGCCAACATGGAATAACTTAAATAAAGTACACTGCAAAATTATTTTTAAAGCCATGATAAAAAATCAATATTGACATTGTGATGACATAACTAAAATTATCACAATAAAACAAAACTGACAAATCAATTCTAATTTATTGGCCCCTATATTCATGATATGCCCTATATTTCCAATTAGCCTTGGTCATAAGAAAGGATGAAGTCATGCAATTGCTGCTACATGGGTGGATGTGGAGAGTATCATGTTCAGTGAAGTCAGAGGGAGAGGAACATGACCTCTCATATGTGGAATAGATAACTTCCTAGGGGAATATCAAATACCCAAAGGAAATAGAAACAAAGATCAGGAGAACTGATCTTCTTACTTTGTACTGGTGGGAGTACAGGAAGATAAGATAGGGAAGCAATTACTAGGACAATGGAAAAGGAGAAAAGTACCTGCCACAGAGGCACACTAAGGGGGAAGGAAGGAAACGGTAGACTTTGGTGGAGGGCAGTGGACACTGTTGAAAGGACTGGTGTACTGGAACACTGTTCACCTGAAACTCAATCAGAAGTATCTTTGTAATTTATTTCATGGTGATGCAGTAAATATTAAAATAAATAAAAATATATTTGCCTTTAGGATTTCGGTAAGATCATATTACTGAAAACTATCATCTTATCAACTTTCATTCTATTAGAACATACTAGAAAATAAGACTGTATTTATAGAAAAATTAGTTATTATTATTAAAATACTATCTCCTTCTGGAGAAGTATTACAGCAGAAAATAGAGGAATTATGTCAATTTTATATTTGAAGTCAAAAAAATGTAAAACTCTTAAAAGTCTATACATTTCCTTATTGAATAGACTGCACCTTTGGTTTCAATACTCTTTATTAGAAAATTTACTTGACCTCTAAAATACTCTTCAAAATCACTAAATAACACTCAATAGTGGAATACAATCTTTTAATGAGTATCATAAACAAAGTCATTTAATATGGTAGTTTCTTAATTTTAAAATAAAACCTAGCTGGCTTGTTAATTTCAGGGGCTTTCAAAAAGGTTTAATGAAACAGTGCTTCACTCGTATGTTTATTGCAACACTGTTTACAATAGCCAGAATCTGGAAAAAAAAAAACCCTGAGTGCCCAAGAACAGATGACTGGTTGAAGAAACTATGGTACATCTACACAATAGAATACTATGGAGCTGTTAGAAGAGACGAAACCATTAAATTCACATATAAGTGGATGGATATGGAGAGCATGATGCTAAGTGAAATTAATCAGAAAGAGAAGGACAGACATAGAATGACTGCACTCATTTGTGGAATATAAAGTAGCATAATAAGAGACTAACACCTAAGGAGAGTAGAGATAAGGGCCAGGAGAATCACACCATGGCTTAGAAGCCAGTCCCACATGCTGGGGGGAAAGGTAGTTGGGACTGAGAGGGGACCACTAAGTAAATGGTGATTGGAGGGATCGCCCAGGTTGGGGGATGTGTGCTGAAAGTAGACCAAGGACCAAACACGATGACCTCTTAGTATCTATATCACAAATCACAATGCCCAATATTAGAGAGTAAGAATGACTGTACCTGCCAGAGGTAGGGAGTGGGGTAGGGTGGGGGTCGCGGGTGGGATACTGGGAACAATGGTGATGGAAAATGTGCACTGGTGGAGGGATGAGTGCTCGAGCATTGCTCAAATAAAACGCAATCATACAAATTTGTAACTGTATCTCACAGTGATCTAATAAAACTTGTTTAATAAAAAAGAAACAAACAGTGCTTCAAAAATCCCAAATGTGCTGGAGCGATAGCACAGCGGGTAGGGCGTTTGCCTTGCACACAGCCAACATGGCCAACCCGAGTTCGATTCCTCCGCCCCTCTCGGAGAGCCCGGCAAACTACCAAGAGTATTCGATATGCCAGACACAGTAACAACAAAGTCTCCAATGGAGACGTTACTGGGCCCGCTCGAGCAAATTTAAAGATAAAGGAATATAATTACATATTTATTTCCTTTATAAATTATAAGTGTTTATTACCCATTACAGAGGAGCAGTGCTGCTGTGCTTTTCTTTGTACAAGCTGTTGTCTAACATACTGGTCAACTTCAGTTTCTTCACATTCAGCCCCAGTCGGCTGAAGAGGAGCAAGGGGAATAATTGTATTCTGCTGTGGAGGGAGTACATTCCTCATAGATTTGCACTGGGAATCTCTGCGTTCTTTCAAACAGCCAACTGGCTTCTTCTCCCTTGCTTTCTTTATCAGGGTGACACGATCTCTAATGGATTTAGCAACAACTTTTGAATCACTTTCATGAAAGAATCCAGATTTGACCTAAAAATAAAACACACATGGACTACATCTTTTTTTTTATTCAGGTAACATTCGTTTACAAGTACACAAATTTACCTGTGTTTTAGAGCTACAATGTCATTATACCATTGTACCACCACAGTGTCAATATTCATTCACCACAGTCCACTGGACACTATCAACCCACACCTTAAATCACCTTAAATCAAATCTTAAATCTGATATCAAGTTTAAGATTCTTAATCAAGATTCTTGATCAAATTCTTAATCAAGATTCTTAATCTAAAACCTTAAATCAAGTTAAAGATTTAAGATTAATGGTTGAAATCTTAAACTTGATTTTATTTGATCAAGTTTAATATTTCAACCATTTTCAGTAGTAGTTATTTTGTGTCCCCAACTTCCAAGTGCTATTGACTAACATTTAATTTTCTCTATAATATTTCCTCAACCAGAAATACAGGCCTTTAATCAGCTTAAGAAAAAAAAATAGAAAAAAAATATTACTAAGGATTTTTTAAAAATAATTCTGGCTTTAAATCACAACTAAATACTTCTGTATGTATAGTTTTATTGCAGGTTATTACTTTATGAGCCATTAGGTTTTATGAAAAAGTAAAAGCTTTTCCCACTCAAAAATAGTATGCACCATGATGTGTACAACACTAGGCTCCAAAGACAAACACAATCAACTTAAAATGAGGTAGAAATTCCCCAAGACAAAAGCCCTATAGAAGAAGCATATGTCTCTCTAGAGAAAGTAAAGAAAATGTCACATGTGAAGGTTAACTTCAATCTGGATAAAAGCAAATAGGGGGGCCTGGAGTGATAGCATAGCAGGTAGGGCATTTGCCTTGCACGTGGCTGACCCGGGTTTGATTCCCAGCATCCCATATGGTCCCCTGAGCACCACAAGGAAGTAATTCCTGAGTGAAGAACGAGGAGTAACTCCTGAGAATCACCAGGTATTACCCAAAAAGGCAAAAAACGCTATCACTGTCCTATCCTTTTTAACTTGAGGACAGAATGTCCTGTTGGGCCTAGCTTAGAGTATCTGTACTTGGCTACTTTTGAACATGTGCTGCTAAAGCTCATGCACATATCCAAGGCCTGCAGCAACCTAGATTAGTTGTAGACATCGCTTCTACCTCATAGAAGTTATTTTCTATTGTTTACTCTTGTAGAGTTGTCATGGGGAGATTAGTAGCAGAGAAGTCACAGGTTCCCACTCTCCATCAAATATTATGTACCACATAAATAATTTCTGGTCCACACAACATTCCTGGCAGTAACCTGAGTGTATGATGAACCATGTTTTTATTTCACTGGACTCACACATGATCTTTCATTAAATTCCCCAGCAGCAACTCCTGTTGAGCTCTAGAAAAGCTAAAGTCAGAATATGACCAAGAAATTCTGTTCAGTTTATCCTCTCCCAGGAATATTTACCTAACAGTTACATCAATTACCACCTAGCTGTGTGGTTATCACTCAGGTTTTCAAAACAGAACAATATACTGTGTAGGCAAACTATAATAAAAAGCAAAAGAATAAGAAATACAAAATTCATGGTAGATGTTATCTTATAGTGATGAGGGAAGGAAATGTACCTGGAAGGGTCACACAAAAGTGGCTTCCGATATACAAATAGTGTTATGTTTATTAACAATGGTGGTATTTAATTAACATTTATACTCATGAAAATAATACACTTTACTGTAAATATACATTTCACAATAAAATAACAATTTACATAAAGAAAAGGAGAAAACAAGAAGATAAAAACACTAAGGAGAAAGAAATATAAGGCAAGGGGGATACTGGTAAGATTTACTTACCATTTCATATGCTACTTCCTCAGGTGTATCTGTTTCTAAATTAAAGCTGAATTCAATGGCTTCATTGTCTTTGTGTTTGCCTTTCAATTTTTTTGGATCTTCAACCCAGAGTCTCAAAGCCAGGGATAAATTTGAATCATCACCTTCCTCTGCTAACTCCACCCTCAGTCCTGTATCCTCAGCAAAAAATGCGTGGCTTAGTAGGTCCCTGATAGACAACCTAATAAATAAAATATATGTCTTGTTATCAATTCCTCCAATTATAAAAAAGATACAGAAGCCTAAATCATAATAAAAGTATCAAAGTAATAATCTTATTTTAAATTCTCTATTAAGACAATAATATGCCTTGTTAAAAAAAACCAATCTTATCTCCAACACATTATAATCAAGTATGAAAAAAATCCCAAGTAACATGTGCATGTAATGATCATAACTAAGAATTATTATCAGTAACATATAAATATACTTAAGTTTAATATAGCTAAAAGTATTCCTAGAGAGAACTGGAAAAGTTATATATAGATATATTAAAGATTCAATTTACCGAGTAGCTTTCCTAGTCCAATAGCTTAATGAACTAAGGCTCAAACACATAGATTCTGGAAAAAGGAAACTAAAAACACATTGAGATAGACGTAAATTAGAAAATCAATTTTTTTCATCTATTTTTTAATATTTTTGTTAGTGAAAGACCATGAGGTACAGTTGTAGACTTACAAATTTTCATGTTTGGGTTTCAGATACAAAATTATCAAGTACCTATCCCTCCACCAGTGCCCATTCTCTACCAACAATGAACCCAGTAGCCATCCCACCCCCCCTTCCCCCCACCCCACCCCACCTTTATGGCAGGGCATTCCCTTTTGCTTTCTCTTTAGGGTGTTGTGGTTTGTAATAGAGGTATTGAGTGGCCATCTTGTTTGGTCTATAGTCTACTTTCAGCATAAATCTTGCATCCTGAGCGAGTCCTCCAAACAACCTTTACTAGGTATTCCCTCCTCTATCTGAGCTGTCTTTTCCCCCAGAATGTGCTCCCGGCTTCCAAGCCATGTTGCTGACCTCCTGGTACTTATCTCAACTATTCTTGGATGTTCATCTCCCATTCTGTTACTTTATATTCCACAGATGAGTGCAGTCCTTCTATGTCTGTCCCTCTCTTTCCGGCACATTTCACTTAACATGATACTTTCCATGTAGAACCATGTTTGCAAATTTCCTGACTTCATCCTTTTGAACTGCTGCATAGTATACCATTGTGTAGATATACCAAGTTTCTTTAACCAGTCATCTGTTATCAGGCACTCGAGCTTTTCCCAGATTTTGGCTATTGTGAAGAATGCAGCAGTGAACATGCAAGTGCAGATGTCATTTCGACTCTCCAGATGTCATTTTTGCCTCTCTGGGATATATTCCCAGGAGTGGTATTGCTGGGTCAAATGGGAGCTCAATTTCTAATTTCTTGAAAATTGTCCATACTGTTTTCCAAAAGGGCTGAACCTATCGGCATTCCACCAGCAGTGATGGAGAGTCCCTTTCTCGCCACACCCACACCGGTTGCTTTTATTCTTTTGGATGTGGGCCAGTCTCTGTGGTGTGAGATGATATCTCATTGTTGTTTTGATCTGCATCTCCCTGATGATTAATGATGTAGAGCATTTTCTCATGTGCCTTGTAGCCATTCGGATTTCTTCTTTGAGAAAGTTTCTGTTCATTTCGCCACCCCATTTTTTGATGTGGTTGCATGTTTTCTTCTTGTGAGGTTTAACCAGTGCTTTGTATATCCTTGATATCAACCCCTTATCAGATGGGTATTGGGTGAATATCCTTTCCCATTCTGTAGATTGTCTGTGTATTTTGGTCACTGTATCTATTGTGGTGCGGAAGCATCTTAGTTTAATATAGCCCTATTTGTTTATCTCTGTTTCCACTTGGTTGGTCAGTGGCATGTCATCTTTGAAGATACCGTTAGCCTCAACATCGTGGAGGGTTTTGCAGACATTGTCTTCAATGTACCTTATGTATTCCAGTCTGATTTTGAGGTCTTTAATCCATTTTGATCTGACTTTTGTGCATGGTGTTAAGTCGAGGTCTAAGTCCAATATTTTGCATGTGGTTGTCCAGTTATGCCAGCTTCTTTTGTTAAAGAGGCTTTCCTTACTCCACTTCACATTTCTTGCTCCTTTATCAAAAATTAGATGTTTATACATTTGGGGTTGTGTGTAGGTATATCCCACCCAGTTCCATTGGTCTGCGGCCCTACCTTTGTTCCAGTACCATGCTGTTTTCATTGTTATCATTTTGTTGTAGAGTTTCAGGTTGGATAGGGTGATGCCTCCCATCGTTTTATTCCCAAGAATTGCTTTAGCTATTCGTGAGTGTTTGTTGTTCCAAATGAATTTTAGGACTGCTTAATCCATTTCTTTGGAAAAATTTCATGGGTCTCCTTATAAGGATCGCATTGAATCTGTATAGTGCCTTGGGGAGTATTACCATTTTGACAATGTTAATTCTTCCTATCCATGAGCAGGAGATATGTTTTCTCATGTCCTCTTTTATTTCGTGGATTAGTGTTTTGTAGTTTTCTTTGTAGAGGTCCTTTACCTCCTTAGTTAAGCTGATTCCAAGGTACTTGATTTTCTGGGGCACAATCGTGAAAGAGAAAAATTCAAATTATTTTACAAATGTTAGGACTACAAGTTACTGATTTTTTAACAAAAACCTAGTCACTGTACTTTACTCTTCACTGAATGTTACAGGTAAAGGTAATTTAGCTCAACAAAGTACTGTGGTCTTCTTAAAAGATTCTACTTTTAGGTATAAATAAAATAGATACAACTCTAGCTTAATGTTATGGATAACACTATTTGAAAAGAAAAGAGGATGGACGTCCAAAATATTTTTACAGACAAAAATCATGCAATTTGCTGCTACATGGATGGACCTGGAGGTTGCCATTCTGAGTGAAGTCAGAAGGAGAGTAATAGATACAGTAAGATCTCTCTCATATAAGGATGTATTTTTTATTATGTTTATATCCTAGGGGAATAACACATGGCCAAAGGCAAAAGACTTGAGAACTGGTCTATAAAGTAGAGCTTAGGGTGGAGAGAGGAAGGGGAGGGGACGTTGAGAGGAGGTGATCAAGTATGAAGGTTGTGGTGTTGAAACATTGTATTATGAAACCCTATCATTAAAAGTATTGTAAATTACGGTCCTAAATTTAAGATTCTTTTAAAGTTCACTGTATCACTGTCTTTCTGTTGTTCATGGATTTCCTCGAGCAGGCATCAGTAACGTCCCCTTCGTTCTAGCCCTGAGATTTTAGAAAGTGCCACATTTGAGGCTCTTTAAGGGTCAGGAGAATGAGACCCATCATTATTACTAGGTTTTGGCATATTGAATACACCACGGGGAATTTGCCAGACTCTGCCATGTGGGCAGGATACTTTTGGTAGCCTGCCACTTTCACCAGAGTAAGAACAAGATAATAAGATGTCACAAGGCAGCGAATGCGGCCATGCGCTTCCGGGAGCTGTGTTTTATTTTCTCTGGGTCCTGGTCATTGATGGTATTACACAGAGCCGGGGGCAGTTGGTGGGTGTAATGCCTACATACTGGAAGATGGGGGATCTGGGTAGAGGAGGCCCAGTCCTAATCTGAGCAGGCTTGGAGATCTATACCCCGGGTCCCACATACCTGGGTTCCTCTGCTGGTTCCTTCATGCATGAGGCTCATCCCAACGTGTGGAGAGTGGTCTTAAGCATGGCTGTTGCTGGAACCAGAGGTCTTAAGCTGCTGGGGCTTTGCTCGAGGTGGGGAGAGAAACTCAACCCACCCTCTTCCAAGGGGCCCAGGTGAGAACAGCCAGGTGCGGAGGCAAGAGACTCTGCACTGTTCTCTTCCGGGTGCTCGGTTTTATAATCTCTGGGTCTTGGCCGTTGATGGGATTACACGGCGCCGGGGGCAGTTGGTGGGGGTAACACCTACATACTGGAAGATGGGGGATCTGGGTGGAGGAGGCCCAGTCCCAATCCGAGCAGGCTTGGAGATATACGCCCCGGGTCCCACACATTTGTGTTCCTCTGCCGGTTCCTTCATGTGTGAGGCTTGTCCGAATGTATGGAGAGTGGTCTTAAGCATGGCTGTGGCTGGGACTGGAGGTCTTCAGCTGCCGGGGCTCTGCTCGGCTTTTAAAGTTACATATTAATTTACTTTTCTTTGATTAACTTCTCACAGAAATATATAATATTCATCTAATCCATCTATATTAAAGATCAGGGGAACTAAAACTGATGCAGTCCATATTGTCTATGTACAAAACGCCTTCAGTACTATTTTTTTTAAAAAAGATAAAAGTATATTGACAGTGTGGTATACTTTTAATTGAGTACCATGAAAAATATTTCTTTAGTAATCAAGAGACAAATACTTAACTAGTTGGTATAAAATAGCCATTTGCTCAGACTAGTTTGTTGGGTTTTTTTTTTTGTTTGTTTTTGTTTTGGGAGCAACACCTGGTGGTACTCAGGGCTTATTCATGGCTCTATGCACAGGGATCACTCCTGATGGGGCTCATTATTTTGCCTATTTGGGGTGAGTGCACATCCAGTGGTGTTCAGGGATCACCAGATGATGCTTGGGAAACCACATGTAGTGCCAGGATAAAACCAAGGTCGGACACAGGTAAGGTAAGAGCCCTATCTACTATACTCTCTCTCTTTCTCTCTCTCTCTCTGTCTTTGTCTCTCTCTCCAGCCCCTTAATTGTCCATTTCCTGTTATGAGTACACAGAGTTATAATGTACATAAAGTCTTTTCTCACTGCATTATCATTAAAATTTTTTTCAGTTATTTATTTATTTTGAAGGGATAACTATTTTCAAACTGGCTCATTTTATCATTAAGCAAAAACTAAAGGGAAAAATGGAATTTAGAGGAAATTTTTAATTGTTAATTAAATAATTCATTTTTTTCAAATTTACAAGTGTTGCTGGTACAGAATTTATTATAATAAACAATTCTACTGGCAAGGAAATGCAAGTTTTCCCTTCATACTCAGAAATCAGCATATTTCAGAACTTGGGGATATTTAATTCAGGCTTGGGGATATTTAATAATTCATTTCATATGATTTTGATTTGAAGGTCAGAACCTAAAATATGTTGCACACAAACTTCAGGGAGTTTTATTTACATCCAGGTTCACTTTTGCAAAAGGG